TATCACTTACGTACGATCAAAATTTGGCACGTAAAGAAAGCCAATAATATTATCTTCGTACGCGATTCATCTTGTCGGTATCGAAAGGGGCGTGGTCTCTTATAAATAGTCCAGGATTGTGCCGACATATTCGGGCGATAAAGCTGTATTATTTATAAATAATTACGAATAATATTATTATCGCAAGACTTGACAAGGTTCCCAATCGCTGAATATGAAGGAATGTGATAACCCGCAGTAGACGCTGTTATTCTCGCGTGAGAAGAAAAGTCAAACTTATTATTCTGGCATTTATCGGTGTTGACGTCTTGCTAAGTTCCACAAAGGCAGGAAGATCACGATGGGATGATGTGAGAAAAATCATGTTATCGTATTTGTTTTGATTGCAAACATTTTGCATTCGAATTCTTCGTAAAAAAAAAGAGAAAAATGTGATTCAAGAAGTCGTTATTAAATTCACTCATCCCCGAAGATTAGAATTGAATTGTGTCCAGTTATAAAATAAGGTGCAACCAATGATTAAATAAAATGATTAATGTAAGTTAAATAAAATGATTAAATGATTAATGTAAGTTAAATAAAATAAGTTACACTAAAGTAAAAATTAGTTAAAATTTTGTATATATCAATTTATATAAATATATATAAAACATTTTTTAAATATCGAAAAAAATTTTTATAAGACAAAATAATATAACACGTGAACGTGGAGTTTTGAGAAAGGAGTGTCGATTTGTTTGTATTATGGTTGCGAATTAAAACAATCTGACTAAGCAGGAATTTATGTGACTTTTTGTTTCACCATTTAACAACCCGCAAGGCGATACCAAGGACATAAAAATTTTAAGTTTAACAAAACTGAGGTCAAGAACTATCTAAGAACGAAGACAACATTTTGCATTTCAATAATACAATAATGTTAACTAAGACCTGTTTTACAATGCAATCTCATCTCTGAAAACAGTGATATTACGCAAAAGATTGCATAAGTATTTTGATATCATGATGATTTTTTAGAAAAAGTATGATAAAAATTATAGAATGATGTTTCAAATTTAGCTTGTTTTGCAGTACAAAAATAGTGACAGACGTAATGTTCATCAAAGTTGATGTCTTATCCCACATAACAAGCTCGAGATAAACTTCAATACTTTAATAACGTCCAGAAGAAGAAGAATTGATAGGATGATAAATAAAAAAACTATAACGTTTTATTATTAACACCGGATAAAATTGACCTTTAAGAAAAACGATTCTTTCCGTTAATTTATCATTAATTTATTATTAATCATTAATTTATTTTTGCAAAAAGAACGATTACGCTTTTTGTAATGTGACAGAAAAATATTTCGTTATTCATTTCACGAGATTCCCTATAATAATTCGCAATCGGTGGGAATCCTGGCGCAATGTTTATACGAATTAATGCGGGCTCAATTTTTGAATTTTCGCCACTGGCCCGATCGTCACATCTCATATCCAAATATTCGACGCCGTTTCGTCATCTGGCTGGATGCTACTGGTTTGACGTATTGCCGTTATCGGACTTTCCACCGATTTTGCAATTGGCCGATGTCAGTTATTAACGACCGATTACGCGTGCAAACATACGCATATCGCGCGTGTGAATACATATCCACATTCATGAACGGCGCACGCCTGTGATTTGGATAAGTTACATCGCTCTCGTGAATGATAAACATGTGGGAGGAAACAATCGGGAATTTCAATATCAATAATTCTAAATCGTATCAAATTGATTCTTGTTTCACCGATTGTGTATACGTTTAATAAATCGTTTTAATTGATAGAAATATTCTTATTATTATTTTTTTTTTTAATCAATGCGCGTTGCAATATCTAATTGTAACAGTTTGACATTGTTGTAGCGACGTGCGGAAAGAAGTTAATAGAAATTTAATCCAACGCAATATTAAAAATAGCATGAGGTATATGTAATCAAATGTGTACACGTGTCGTATATGTAATTAAATATGTAATTAAATATGTACATGAGATGTATATGGAATCAAATATGTACATGTGATGTATATGTAATCAAAATGTCACAATATGTATGTACATAATTATATGTTATCTGGTGATATATCATGTGATCCTCTGACGTGGGAAAAACGCGTTGAAAATTTTTTTAAAAACAGTTTAACATCAACAAAATAGAGTAGCGTGATGCGCAAGCATTATTGCGAGAAATGTATTTCGTTTTCATCATCTTTTTCGATCTTTTTCGTCATTATAGTTCATGCGCCAAAGTGAAAGTAACGAAGTAAATTCTAGCCGGTCGTTGCATCAGAAGAGAGATGACGAAATTTTAACCAGCATAAGGCGAGAACAAGGAAAACGATACAGTAAGAAAAGAGAGAGAGAGAGAGAGAGAGAGAGAGAGAGAGAGAGAGAGAGAGA